ATGATATTCCCCTATATAATCCCCCATATTCCCCCATGTAACTCGGGGTCTCTCAAGTCGGGGCTTAGGGCTTAGTGTTAAGGCTTTGGGGCTTTTACCTCGATGAGGTTGCATGGTTTAGGGTTTAGGGAACTTCAACTGCACAACTCTGGGAGCCTGGATACATCGGAACCCTAAACCCTAAACCGCGTGATATCCAGGTTCGCACCTCTGGGTCGACGCGCTCGCCTGGCAGTATCTCATGCTGGGGCTACCCTGGGGCTACCCTGGGACAGGGTGAAAGGGCTTAAGGGTTTAATTTTTTTAGGGTTTAAGGGCTTAGGGGTTTAAGGGTTTAGGGGTTGAAGGGTTTAGGGGTTTAAGGGTTTCAGGGTTTAAGGGTTTAAGGGTTTAAGGGTTTAGGGGTTTGGGGTTTAAGATTTAGGATTCCCGCCTCGTCCGAAGCTTTGGAAGACCTCCATCCAGGACTCCAGACCCTCATGGATGTTGCCTGGGCATGAAGTTTGGGATTGGAGGTTCAGTTTGGTGTATTGGGTTTAGCTTTCAAGTTTTTAGAGTTTGGGGACTTGGGCCCTGGGATTTTATGATTCAACATCTCAGGTTTAGGGCTTAGTGCTGGGGTTTAGGCCTTCAAGTGCTTTGCAAAGAAAATGCTGTCTGAACCATGGCTCCCTCCTTCAGAGCTAAGTATGGGGCAGGGTTTAGTGCACGCTACGCAGGCAAAAAAAAGAAACACCAGGGATATTCGCTGAATCGAAAATTGGAAGATACAAGAAGGCATAGAGGGAGATATTGGGGGGCGAATCTCCAGGGTATGTGCTTAAAGTTTTGGAGAAGCAGATGGATGCGAAAAATGGCAAATGAAATGAGGCCTAGGTTTACATACGGCTTTGTAGGGACTACAGGCATGCTACGCAGCATCTGCGTTCTCTTTACTACTGTACTTTGGTTTGTATCCTAAACCCTTATCTCAAAAACTCGAAACAGTCTTTTTTATCCGAAGTCTAAACCCTAAACCCCTACCCTCAAAACCAAGTTTTATCTCGTTGTAACTTCCAGCTCCATGCGCACTCAGTTCTGAAGCCTGAGACCCGAACGTAGAACCCTGAACCCTTAACCCAAGATCCCTAATCCTAAACCCTCTCACTCCTAGAGTCCTGAAAGCCCTGAGCCCTAAACCCTAAACCCCAAACCCTAAACCCCAAACTCTGAACCCAAAACCCTGAACCCTACACCCTTATCCCTTCACCGCTGCCTGAGCGTACGTAATCCTCGAGGCTAAAGCTTGGCGCGCTGATCGGCTCCGCGCGGCTCGCAGATGCCGGAAACCACATCACCTGCAGTTTGGGCCTTAGGGATTAGGGTGTACGGTTTAGGGTCTAGGGTGTAGGGCTTAGGGTTCAGGGTTTAGGGTATAGAGTGTAAGGTTTAGGGCTATATAAAGAGATTGCTTGCAGTTTAGGCCTTAGGGTTTAGGATCTGGGTTTTGGGGATGAGGGTTTAGGGTAAAGGCTTAAGGGGCTGTTTGGAGTTTGGGTTTGTTTGGGGTTGAATGCGCGTAGGGCTTACAGGTTTCTGTAAGGTTTAGGGTCTTGAAGGATTAGGGTTTAAGGGATGGTTTAACATGTAGGGTTTAGGGCTTAGAGTTCAGGAGGGCTGGATGCAAAAGAGGTACCTGGGTCATAAACATGTTTTTTTGGGGTCTATAGGGTAGTTTCCCAAAATAGGGACCCCTCAAACGTGCCCTTCATTTTGGCAAACCCCCCATATCGAGTTCTAGAGGGTTTCGGAGCCAGCGTCCTGTTCCAGAGGGGCCTTCCAGGATCCTATGAAGGCACATCGGGATATCGGGCACAAGGCTGAGGGAGTTCAGGGTTAGGAGCTTAGGAAGCCCTAAGGCTTGGCGTGAAGGGCTTAGGCTTTAGGGGTTTAGGGTTTAGGGGGTTTTAGATATCAAAATCACGGCCCAATGGTGCTGAAGGGGTCGAATTTGTTTTCGCCAGCACCCCCTAAATAACCCCCATAATAATTACTCTCCTATATAATCGCCTACATAATCCCCTTTAAGGAGTTTAAAGTATAACGCATGTGTTTGTATCTATATATATATATATATGCCCACTGTTAGAAGACCACCATGGTGCCAAGGAACACAAATGCGAGTCACGGCACCAGTGGCTACACAATGAACATCATCACGACTACGAGAGAACAAATGAGCAGTGATTTGTCGGTGATTGAACCAATTAAGGTTATATTCTGAATAAAAATACTATACCAAAATGGAGGATATAATCTTACTCTATATTGAGTACCATAGTATTCACGGACGTCAGTCGGTCTCCAAATAAAATACTACTCAAATGGCGTGAGCCTGGGTAGCCACCAGGAAGGTCCATGTGATCGCGAGGCTTCGGTGCGCCATGCTGGGCTGGACTGCAAGCTACTGCTGTGATGCTCTTGCTGCTGAGAAATCGCGAGGCGCAACAGAATCAACGAATCTAAGAACAGCACACCTTGAACGTGGCACCAGTCCGCAGCTATCAAATGCGCCAAGCAGGTTGCGTGCCGTAAAGTGCTTTTCACTCTGCCATTACTTGATCTAGCCTTCTGAGACTGATGAGAGCGCTGCCTATGGCCACAAACATCACCGGCAGCCAGTCTACAGAAAGGGGGGTCTGAATGATCAGTATGCAGGGATTCCGGATGCTCCAGCATTCTCCAGCTGCTGAGAACTAGTTGAGATTCTGCATCAACCATTTCAGCAACCATGTGAGCACCGGGCCCCCTGACCCCACCACGAATTCAGGGAGTCTTGTGCTTTCTGCACAGATTAAGCAGCAGCTAATGCCAGCACCACTTGGAGCGCATTTGCCTGACCCCACCACCTGACGCTCAGATTACCTCGGGGTCCGACTTGTGGGCCTGCGATGCTTGGAGGATGGACTCAAGCATAGCATCGCCCGGCTTCTGGCCCTCTTGCAGCAAATCCAGCATCCTGAATCACAGGTGGGATCCACATCGTCTCTAACAACTACCTTCCTCTAGACTCTAGACTGGAAGAACCCTCTTAGACCCTGCAAACTTCAGCTCATGGCCCAGTGTCTCTTTGCTGAACATCTTCTGCAAGGCATCTGGGCTGTTGATGACTTGCGCGGCCACCGGATTCCTTGGCCAGTCTTAGCGTCTTAGGGACGATGCTAATACATTGTAAGCAACCCTCAAATCTCCATGCCCCCACTGCGTGCATCAGAAAGCCTGCTTTGCACCATCACCAAACACTCAGACACCACAATTCCCCGCAGCGTAGACCTCACTTAAGGGTAAGCGGCTGGCAGGCAGCTAGGCAGGTAGGCAGCGACTACATATGAGAGTGTACGAGGTCCAAATGGAGTTTTGGGGAAGCATGTTGGGATGAAGTATACTGGACCCAAAGCCTGATGAGAGAATATCGTTGCTGACGGTTCTCTGTTTTACGTGTATCTCTATATCTTTATATATATATAGAGATAGATAGATAGATCGATCAGTAACCTGCCCTACACGCCTGGAATCCCCCCGAACCTAGCACCTGAGCAACCTAGATGCATATCAGCCAGCTGCTGGACCAGCGGGCTTGCATGGATGACCTGGGCCAGCTTCTCCGGGTCTGAGGCGACGTCTTGCACTCGCCCCCTGACCTCTGCTTTAGGGGTTTAGGGTTTAGGGTTTAGGTGTTTAGGGTTTAGGGTTAGGATGTGGCTTTTTGAATTTTGGGTTCTAGGTTTTGGAATGGAGAAATTGTCAACACCGTGGCCCTTCCAGGAACCCAACCACAGATACGTCGCCCATAGAGTATTTGCGGCTAGCAAGTCTACCCGAATGGAAACTCTACATCCGTGGGATGAACTAAACCCGTCACCCCTGGGGCCCACGAGAAAGAAGTCTTCCTGATAATTGCTATAAACTTTCGTGATGTCCTAGAAGGGCTCCGAAGGCGCCCCCCGACCCTAAGCCCCAAGCCTTACACCCCGAAAAACTTAGGCCCCCGAACCTGAAATCCTAAAGGCGCTTCTAAAAAGACGTGAGTGACACTTGGATTGCTCAGCTCCTTCTGCAAGTCCTCTGCCACCCCAGGTGAGCTCGCGGGAAGGGCAGTGCCATTGACCGCGTCCTGCAGTCAAGGGGGGAGTTGGCTAGCACTAAAATAGGCTTACCATTCAGCCCTTATAATACAGAGTATGAGGCGATAGCGCAATGTCTTTTCGATGTGTTTATGGCTATTTTGTGTGGATTTTTACGTGGAAATACATGTACATATCTCCACTACGTTGGCGAAACTTGGCCCACAATATACGTAATGTCATGATAGAGCTAAGACTAATGCTGCTAGGCATATCGAGGTAGCCCCCCAGTATACCCCAGTATACTGGAACAAAGAGGGTTCAGGTTCAGGGTTTAGTGGTTCGGGGGACCCAGCAACCCCCTAGCCATAAGGGCAACCTTTTCCTAATGTCCAGGCTTAACCAGGAGACCCCCCAAAAGGGAAAACAGGTACTGCCTGGGTACCTAGTAGAAGGATCTTACATAGATGGTCACTTACGGGGGCTTACAGAAGGCAGGAACTTACGAGGGCTTCTCGGCGGCAGCAAACTGAGAGAGTAGCCGGTGAGCCGAAGAGACCTGAAAGAGGTAGCAGTGGGATAACCCAGGCCCGTGATCAACATAAGTCGCCTCCCCTTGATAGGGAGTATAGTAAGGATCCTAACATGCAGGCCCTTAAAAGGAGGGGGTTTATCCACATAAGGCCCTTAAGAGGCTTGGGGGTTGTTGATCATGGGTCAACATTAGCCCCAAGTTGGGAACCTGCCAAGCCAGGGGCCCCGAACTTGAACCCCAGGTGCGCGCGCATCGAAATGGGAGCTCGAGGGTGTACTCCTCACATGAGCTCCGGAAAGGAACCCATTAATACGAGAAACTCTGGACCCGAAATCCTCCGCTGCCCGCAGAATTGCCAGATTTAAATACCTTGCATTTTCTCTGGGTTAGGGCGTAGAGCATTATCATGGTTTACTTCGACCAGACCCGATATTGCAGAGGACTGCATAGTGCCCCGATAAAGCTCCCATGAGCAAAACATAAGGAAGAGCACGCTATCCTCCCCGCCTAAAGCAAAACCTGAACGACGCTTGGCTGTCCGGATTCAGGCTTGGGGTTATCTAGGTTCGGGCAATCGAACTTCCACGACAAAACATTCCTACCAGTATCGGCTTCTCGGAATTGAATTTGTCTCGTCCACCCATCTTACTTTCCCCGGCTGTCTTCTATCCCCAAATGGGTCCTCGCCCAAATTGCCTGTAGTCTTCGTCATCTTCTGCAACGCCTCAGGCATGGCTTTTCGCGTAGCCCCAAAACAAAATTTGCAACAGGAACCGCGAAAGCCCAAAAATACTTTCCAGACCCCCCACAGAACCGAAGCCCTGTATACCCCAAGCGCGAAGCCCCAAACAGCAAAATTGAAGTTTTTCAGGGTCCACACCAGAGAATCTACGTTTTAGGGTTCTGGGAGGGCTTTGGGTATGTTATGATAAGATCCCCATATATTTCCCATATTCAATCTACTTAAGGGGGACTATAACCTTCAACGGCTAGACCCAACACTCTTCCAAACTAACACAGACGCACAGAAAAGGACCCTGATTACAATGTCGCCTATGCTCCTACAACGAAGCCATATGGGCTTCCATGCTCGTTTGGACTTCCCTATAGAATACCAATGACACATATACCCTTATCCCTGCTAACCCCCAGGAAGTATGTCTTGGATATGTCTTGGCCTAACCGTTTACACTGAGACCCCCAGGTTTAAAGGCCCTGGGCTGCGCCTCAGACTCCATGCGCTCACCTCGGCCAAAGCTTCGGAAGACCTCCGTCCACGAGCCAAGGCCCTTCAGCCCCTGTTGGATCTTGCCTGGGGACGGGATTGTAGAACCCTACGCATATGCCATATAACCCTTAGTCCCGTATTATCCCATATAATCCCCATATATAATCCCAGAAACGCCCTGTACAAATACCGCAGCTACCCCCCACACAATCCCATGTAATCCCTGTTTGAGTCCGTATAACCCCTGTATAATTCCATAAGACTTCTCATGAATCTTGCCTGGGCGTGGGATTGTCCAACCCCTATATATATATATATATATTTTTACATACATACCCCATAATCCCCATTCAATCCCTACATCCCATCTAATACCTATGCAACTCCATATAATACCTCATGGATCTTGCCTGGGCATGGGCTTGGGTTTGGGGCTTTCTTTGTGGAGGGGCCCGGGGCTTAGGGTTTTGGGGCTTGGAACTTTGGGGGCTTGGGGTTCTGAGCGCCTCCTTAGCATTGGCTCGGATGGCAGAATTGGAGCATTTCTTAGAGCTTGTGTTTGCCGAACCCAAGGACTCCTTTCAGGGCTTCTTGGGGCTGCGCAAGGGCTCTCAGGCAGTATGACGACTTGAAGGGGATTTCTTGCATGTGACCGGGCCTC